CTACATTTACATATCTGATGACTCAATATGTGCAATGCATCTTTTTTTCCTCAAGGTGGCACTGTTTGATACACAATGACGTGACGTTTCACTCATAATTACAGTAGGCATAAAACAAATGAATATCATCAGCAAAAATTGAAGTGGTTTGAATGGCTTTACTGCAGAGCAATTACTATACTACGCAATGAAATATAAATGTCACTGTCATTTGATGCTGGATGTGGTGAATAAGCTGCTTCTAGGTGTTATATCTAAGCCAATGAGCCATTATTTGGAACCTCAATGAAACAGATTTAAAAATACGTGAGCGGAAACACAGAAAGAACTGCTTTGAAAGAACTAGAAGAAATAACTGCAAGCATACTTTGCAAGTGAGAGGAAACATGCAATATGGATGCAGACAAACTCATGAAGACAATCATTCAAAAATGCTGTGCTACCATCCTTTATAACTAAGAGTAACAAAGACAAAATCATTTAATAGAAAAAATGTTGTATGTTAAATGTTAAGTTTATAATATGCATAGTTGATCGCTAAATTTAGGGGCTGTGTGTGCTATTGGCCTACAGACTGATTTACACCACGTGAATTCATTAATTTATCCTGAAAGAAATGGAAGTGACATGAGTGCCTGCAAGAGGGAGAAAAATTGAGTAGCCTATTTTCCTTTTGCACCAAACTTCAAACCTTTAAAAATAAGCAGGTTTACATTTTTAACCCATCATTTTGATCGGATTTAAGTTATATTTAAGATTAACTTTAATCCTGTTGCACCATAACTTTAAACTCCGATTTAAATCTCAATTATCAATTATGTAACATCATTCTCTACCCTCTCCCTCCTTCATTTTTTAAAGTTAGACATCAACTTTATTAGTATTCCTCACTTTATTAATTATAAACAATATAACAAGAAAAAAATAGTAAAATATAAAATAATTATGTAAATGTGTAAGTATTTTTTCCTGCGCAACTACATTTACATAGCTGATGACTCAATATGTGCAATGCATCTTTTTTTCCTCAAGGTGGCACTGTTTGATACACAATAATGACGTGACGTTTCACTCATAATTACAGTAGGCATAAAACAAATGAATATATTTTTTATAGTTTTTTGCTATTGCAGCAGTTAAAGATCCATCCGTGCTGTATATATAGGTCCGGGTCGCTAGACCAGAATATGTATTAATGATTGGCAAAACATTCATGCATTTAAGGTTTAAATAGAAAAAAATGCACATGCAATTAAAATATGTAACTGATCGAACAAAAACTGTGGAGATCTGACAAAAACAGGTCTCAGAGAGGTGTTTATTACAAATAAAAATGAAAATTAAAGCACGTCGAGTTGGCAGAGTGCGAGGGTCGTGGCGGGATGCGGACCCATCACTCATGGTGCACCTCGGTGTCGGACAAACAAAAGAAGTGAGGAATATTTAACAGCAGCGGTCACAGTGATGAAGAGGCGAGCGTGACTCGAGTCCACACCCCTGAGAATTCATATATACAGATATGAAAACTGTACCTTTAAATTTGTACCACATAAACTGATGCATATTGGCCTGGTTATTCATAAGTGAATTAAGAAATATTAACGGTTTATTGATAGCTAACATTATTTCATCTCATTTTGTAGAATCATCTTTTTTTTGCATTTTAGCATTATATATTTCACATTATATTTACTGAAATAATTGTAAACAAATGATAAATTACATTTCTAAAGCAAATTAAACTTAAGTTTAAGTTTATAATAATAAACCGATTTATATTTTAGATAACTTCTTGATTCTGTAATCCTATTATGGCATTTCCAGGAATAAAGAAATAGTTTGAAACAATGTTTTTGTTTAGAACAAAAAGCAAGTAAATACTTTATCCAACAGTGTACTTAGTATCATATATTCTCAAATAAAGACTAGACATTGCTAGTTGTAGATAAAGTACACAGAAATACTAAATGAAAACATGTTGATTGTGATAACTCTTCACTCTAAACCGCACCTCAGTGCTGACTTTTTGTAGTTTTAACAGAGGCTGAAGGTATAGTTTTAAAAATCATCATTTACTCACCATCATGTAATTTCTGTAGAACATTGGATCCAAACAACCTTGGGCCCTTTTGACTTTAATTGTTGTATAGACAAGTCACAACTGAGACATTTTACAAAACTTCCTTTGTGTTTCACAGAGGAAAGAAAGTGAAAATTCTGTCAGCATCAGGGTGTTGACAGTGATGACAGAATAATTTTTTTTAAAGGCAAATGATCCCTTTAATGTCATAGTTTGTCCAAAATGTTAATAGTTTATAGTTTTGGTGACCAAAAAAGTATTTGTGTCTCCTGGCAGTACGACAGTTGCTCAATAATGGAGTCAGTCCAGACTTGTTCAACGAGGACGGGCTCACTGCACTTCATCAGGTACATGCTCATCAACAAATACAGGCTACAAAACATCAGCTCATTTTAATCCGTTTCATGTTGTAACCCTAAATACACAAAATCAGAACTCTCTGAAGTGTAGTCCTCAATAGACTTACCTCAATGTCACAGTACTCCCATAATGGCAGTGCTATAAATGAGCTAAAAAAACTAAGCTAAACAATTTCAAAAGGGTTTCACTTTGTTTTCTGTTATCTAAACTAAAATACAGCACACGATTATATTGGTAGACTACTCAGTCAGTTAGTTTGTTATTGGATGACCTTTCGATTAGTTGATCATCTTGTCACAATCCCTACTTTTGAATCATGTTCTCCACAGACAGTAATTCAGATAGCTCTTGTGGTTCTCTGCAGAGCTGCATAGATGATTTTTTGGATATAGCACGCTGTCTTCTGGATGCGGGTGCAAACGTGAATGCGTGTGACAGTGAGCTGTGGACCCCTTTACATGCGGCGGCCACCTGCGGACACACTGACCTCGTGCAGCTGCTGATAGAAGCGTGAGTCTCAATTTATAATTCATTCATTGTGCTGATCTTACTGCTTTGTCATACACTACTTTTATTCTTGTATAAATACATAAACTTATATATAAACTTTTATTGCTGTATAAATAGTGTGTAACTTGTGATACAGACTGTCTGAATTCATGTGTTCAGGGGTGCAGATTTGTTGGCGGTGAATGCAGATGGAAATATGCCATATGATCTGTGTGAGGATGAGGCTACGCTAGAGCTCATAGAGATGATCATGGCAGAGGAGGGTGAGAGTTGCTTATAATATACCTACTATTGAGTTAATCAAACCTCTTATGAGCAGTGCTGAGGAAAGTTGCTTTTAAAAGATATATTATTTCAATGCTCCTGACAAACAGTAACTTGTCTTTTTATGGACAGTAATTCATAAGGTACTTCTTATATTTGCTTTTAAAGTGCATGTTAGTACACTAGATTAATTCTCTAGAGAGGGCTTCTCTCTTTTTCATTTTAAAATACCTTTTCACAATTTTTGTTGTTGTCATTATTACGTTGGGCACACCTAGTTTCACTGTGTAACCAGTAGGGGTACACGTATTCGTACCGAAAATTTTAGGTACGGTCTTTCGGTTCGGTACGCATGTGCACTGAACAAAACATTCAATTTTTTTCAGAAAATTCAGACAATAAATGCCGTTTTGACGCTCTTTGTTGTGGCGAGACAGATTGCTGTGCGAGTGAGCATGATAAACCCTTAATCTTTACAACTAGTTTTAATGTGAAATAAGCATGAATGAACTTCTCATGTAATCGTTAATTAGTGTTTCAATTGTGGAAAGATGTCAAAAAACAGCTTGTAAACAAAATGTCATGTAGCATTTAATTTACCTCAGGCAAGTCATCAGTATCTACAGCTCGTTAAGTTTAGAGAAGAGCATTTTGAGAAATATTAGACTATATACTTCATTATATTTTACTTTAGGCTACCTGTTAGTGATGTCTTAATTATTTAATGTATGTTTAAATAAGTCTTTTATGAAACAAGTTATGACAGCCACTGTGTAAGTGATTTATAGCCTATTTCAACAACAAATAGAAATTGTATAATTTAGAAGTTAATTTAAAAACTGCATTATGTGCAATTTACATGTTTGCATAAAATATTTTAATCTGAGTGTTGATTATTATAGTTACAAATAAATATTAAGTGAATTTTGGGCTCTGTTGTTAATTGTAAGCTTATATAAAAGGGCTTCCTCCCTATAATTTAGTTAGTTTGACTAAACTAACTTTTATTTAATTTGACTAAAGTCAAATGAAAACTATTATACTACTATCTATTGAATTTAAAATGACTGAATCGGTGAGACTATGTTAAAGATGTTATGTTTATTTAAAAATATATGCTAGCATAATTTTATTCTGTCCATTTATATTATTATGTATGGTTATATTGACAAATTATAACACTTAACTGAGAAGAATAACAGTGAATTAAACCGTAATGCAACTGAAAGAATAACCAAAATGTACAGCATGTAATGAACATAAACCAACAGCATGCACAATACTAACACAAATCTCTAGTAATAAAACAAGTACATTAGTTTCAGAAGCATTATTTTTAACCAATTAACAAAACATTTAAAATTCTATATATTTACTAAAATATATATATATATCTGATCTTATTCTTTTTTTTTTGGCTCTAGACTATGATTCCATTTAGTTGGAGGATATTAAACTTTTCTTTTTTTTTTTTTTTCAATTTTAGTTCAGTGAATGATGCCCAGTTTTTCCTTGAAACAAAGTTGGCAAGTATATGATGCTTAGTGATTTAAAATCTTGTTTTAAAAGTCTTGTAGTGTATTTTAGTCTTAACAAGGATGCCAAGATATCAGAACTAATTATCAGTGAAAATGTTGGCGGAAAATCCAATATTCCAGTATCACAGAAATATTAATAATTACATTTCAGAGTTATCGGCCAGTAATATATCAGTCGCTGATATATTGTGCACCTCTGTATAAAAATGAGGATAGCCATGAACAAAGACTGTGATGTCTACAGATATGAAAACAGTATATTTTCTTGACGAAACTTTCCCCCCGGTTTCACATACAAGTCTTAAACCCAATCCCAGACTAAAATGTAAGTCTTAGCTGTTTCAACTGAAAAACTTGCACTGATTGATCTTTGTCAATGCCTTTATTATGTCTCAAGATGCACACCAGTAATGTTTTTTTCTAAGGCATGTTTATGAAAATTACTTAAATGTCCTAATTGAACTATGGCCTAATCCTGGCTTAGTCTAAGCCCTGTCTGTGAAATCAGGCCTTTAACTGCTAAATTAAAGTAATTGTGCATTAGCTTTACTCATGATGCATTAACATGATGAATTACCGAACTTGCAGTTCAGTAAGTGAGTCGTATGCTGATTAAGTAGCTCCTCACTGATTTAGTGAAAAATTTGTCAGATTGATTCAAAGCTGTAACTCCTGAGACTGTGGGAACAAATAAATAAAGAACCGATTCCCAAGAGTCTTATCTCGGCGTGCAGCCCATGAGGAACGCTGCTGCTGAAAAGAGATGCAGATAAAAACTCTGCTGTGAATATTAAATACAAGTAATGTAGCCGTGAGAACTATCATAAATGTATTTGTATAATTACACTTCTAGGACTTACATGCTGTAATATTACATTTCAGAAAATTTTAATTTCTGTATTGAGTAGACAGGTGGAAGAAAGACACATTTATGTCAAGGGCAAATTTTTTTTATACAAATCTATAAAGGAAATAAGTGGTTTGACACAAACACTTGCTATTATCAATATGTTTGTATTTAGGGATTACTCAGGAGAGAATTGATGAATGTCGCGGCGCCAAGGAGAGCGCAATGTTGTCTGACCTTCAGGAGCTGGTTGCAAGTGGAGCTGATCTGAATGTGAAGGACGAGCTGGGGGCCACTCTGGTAAGACATAGCAGTGCAGGTAGCCAGGACGATCATCTATAATGTTACCAAAACTGAAGATCTTGTGTTTTCTCTGTGTAGCTGCATGTAGCAGCTGCTAATGGATACATGTCAGTAGGGGAGCTGTTGCTGGAGCACAGAATATCTCCTAACGACAGGGACGCTGATGGGTGGACGCCACTCCATGCTGCTGCCTGCTGGGGACAGGTGATTACTGACACACAAGAGGGTTTAGTGCATGAAAACAAATTTATCACATTTACAGTTCTGTGAAAAAGAAAGGACACCCTATTGAATTCCATGGTTTTCCGTATCGGGACATAATAAAAAAAATCATCTGGTCCTTGGCAGGTCTTATAATTTGGAAAATAAAACCTCAGATGAAAACAACACACAAAATATCACCACATGTCATCATTAATTTAACAAAAAATAGGCCTGTATGCAAAAGCCCTTACTGTTAACATGGGAATTAAGTGGGTAAGTAACGGTCAAGCACTACTAATAAAATGCATTTAATTAACTGATCATCAGCAAGTGTGAACACCTCTATAAAAGCAGAAGTTTTAGCAGTTTGCTGGTCTGGAGCCTTCAGGTGTGTGTTAAAGGGGTCATATGATGCAATTAAAATTTTTCAAAGGTGACTGCTGATGATGAGAGTGCAAAGCCATGCTTCACAGCTTGTGACAGTTGTATTCAAAATGAAGTCTAATAATAAAGAACATCTGTAAAGTTGCAAAGACTAAAGTCTCGTATCCAAAGAGATATTCTGTATAAAAGTTAAGTCAACCACGCCTACCTAAAACGGCTCATTCTAACACGCCCCCACATGTCTATGTCATGATGTGGGAAGATTTGCATAACGCCGCCCAAATGTTCACGCAAAAAAAGAAGGCGTAACTTTTATTCTCGCTGTAGTATTGTTGTTGCGCCATGTCGTGAAGGTGCTGTGTGTTTCGTTGTGAAAGCAAAACTACTTTGCTTGGCCTTCCAAAAGAGGACGATATCCGCTTTGTCATGCCTAGAGCTGATCCGTGCTGGTCGCTGAGGAAATACTTCAACTTCGCACTATGGATTGCCGAATCGGCTTTCACCGTGGACGAAGCGGAGTCCAGCCCGTGGTCATTACATGCTCCTTCGTTGAATCCGTCGGCCGCACCGTTCTCAAGCCCGCCGGCCTCCGCTCACTCAAGCCCGCTATGTGTAAGACGCTGTGTGTTTCGTTGTGAAAGCGAAACTACTTTGTTTGGCCTTCCAAAAGAGGACACGACTAGAAATCAGAGGTTAAGTTGTATTTACAACACTGTTCCAGAACATTTCAACCCAAATATTCAGATGTGTGCAGCGCATTTTATGGAGGACTGTTTCCTGGGAGAGTAGACTACAATGCCGTCTGTTCTGACTCACAGACTGTAAGTAAGTTTTCATATTTAAAGGATTTGCCACTGATGATTCAAACACAGGTTTTGAGCAGTGTGGAGTAGCGCTTGTTGTTTGCCATTTCTCTGATCACAAATGCAGACATGTTTTTATGTTTACGCGGCGCGATGCAACGCAACGCGTAAAAAGACAGTATAAGTCAATAAAGTCATTATAATCCGTAATTGTGTCCCCACTGGATGCAACAAATGCCTCATTTATAATGGGTTTTAATGTTTTTGTCTCGTCGCTTCGGCCGGGACACGACATCACAATATGGTAAGGGGCGTAACATTTCCGTCACACGCTTCAGGTATTCGGCCAAATAACAACTCACTGGATAGCTGGCCAATCAGAGCACACCTCGCTTTTCAGACCGATGAGCTTTGTAAAAATCTACGCGTTTCAGAAAGGCGGGGCATAGAGGAGAAACAATAATGTACAGTATGTGGAAAATAATGTGTTTTTTTAACCTTAAACTGCATAAACACATTTCATTACACAAAATAATGTTCTTTTTAGCAACATCATATGACCCCTTTAACACAATGCCAAGGAGTTAAGACATCAGCAATGATCTTAGAGAAGCAATTGTTGCTGCCATCAATCTGGGAAGAGTGACACGGCCATTTCCAGACAATTTGAAGTCCATCATTCTACAGTGAGGAAGATTATTCAAAGTGGAAGACATTCAAAACAGACACCAATCCTAACAGGAGTGGACATCCAAGGAAATTCTCCCCAAGATCAGACTGTACAATACTCAAGACAACTCAAGAACTACACCAGGAACTACTCTACAGGCCGCAGTTAACATGTTAAATGATAAAGTTCATGACAGTACAATTAGAAACATACCAGACAAGTATGGCATGTTTGGAAGGCTTGCCAGAAGAAAGCCTCTTCTCCCTAAAAAGAACAGGGAAGCATGGTTTAGGTTAGCAAATTTGCATCTGAACAAACCTTAAGACTTTGAGAAAAATGTCCTTTGAACAGATGAAACCAAAGTTGAGATGTTTGGCCATAATGTACAGCATTCACCACATTTGGTGAAAACCTAAAGAGCATATCAGCACAAACAACTCATCCCAAAAGATGCACATGCTGGTGGACGGCTGATGATTTTGGTCTTGTTTTGTAGCCACAGAATCTGGACGCCTCACAGTCGAGTCGACCATGAACTCCTCTGTATACCAAAGTATTCTACAATGATCCCAAATACACCAGCAAATCTACAACAGAACGGCTGAAAATAAAAAATCAAGGTGTTGCAATAGTCCAGTCAAAGTCCATAACGCATCCTGACTAAAATGCTGTGGAAAGAGCTGTGCATAAACAAATGCCTCAATAAACTGGAGCAACATTGTAAAGAAGAGTGAGCCAAAATTCCTCGAGCGATTTGAGAGACTGATAAAGGCAAACAGAAAATGATTATTTTAAGTTATCGCTGCTAAAAGTGGATCTACAGGCAATTGAATCATAGGGTGTCCTTAGTTTGTCACCTATGGCTTTTCCACATTGGCTTTATTTTTGTTAAATAAATAATGACACTGTGTGATATGTCATGTGATGTTGTTCATCTGAGGTTTTATTTTCCAAATTTTAGGACCTGCCAAGGAGCAGGTATTTTTTTATATCCTGATACAGAAAACCATGTAATTAAATAGGGTGTCCTTTCTTTTTCACATGACTGTATTGTCTTGCATGTTACTGGTCTTATTTTTGTGCAGCACATTAGCAGCCACCTTCATTGATGGTGTTGCTGAGCTGCTCTTTGACTAAATTTGTTACATTGATGATGTACTGTATGTTGTACAGGTATACATGTCTCATACTGTAACACTAGGTAAAAGACCCTTGCATAGCTACTTTAGGGGGTGAAAAAACAAATGCTGTGTGAATTCCTTTAATTATACATACGGTTATAACACAGTAATAAATCTCAGAAATTAACACAGTATTTTTTTCCATCCAATTTATTTATTTATTTATTCCAATTTTGGAAATTGTACCAGAAATGTTTATGACGGCTAGGGGACATATATAGTTTTTGGTTTAATAAAACAAAATGGACAACTGTCTAGAATGAGAGAATGATAAACTCTTATATATAATTTTTTTTTTATAAATCTCCTGCCCCATTTAATAAGTAATAAATGGTACACTTAGTAATAGTAAACATTTAATAGACTTTAATCCATAAAGAAGTTAGTTGGCAAAAACATTATTAATGTTGATTCCTTAGTCATTTTGTCTTTCTTCACTTTTAGATCCAGATGGTGGAGCTGCTGGTAGCTAATGGTGCAAATTTAAATGCCAAGTCTGAGCTGGATGAGATGCCTCTTGGTATGACACATCCTAAAGGTTTGATCAGTAGTAACTTGACTGGAGGCATCACAATTCTTTTTATTTTGTAGATGTGTGCACTGATGAGGAGGTCCGGACCAAAATGATGGAGCTGAAACAAAAACACGATGCCATCATGAAGGGTCAGGACAAACACAAAAACACATTGCAGAAACGAGTGTCCAGCACGGGCAGCAGAGGGTGAGTGCTGATGAAGAGAGTGCAAAGCCACGCTTCACAGCTGGTGACAGTTGTATTAAAAATGAAGTCCAATATATTATCTCTCTTTAGGTTTATTAAAAAGCTGTTACTACAGCAAAGAAGTAATTGTTTTTAAAAATCCTTTGTTTGCACAAGGAGTCTTGACAACAGCCAATGGGTAGGTTTCTTGAAGCATTTTGGAGACGTTGCCACAGTTCTTCTGGATTTAGTTTGTCTCAGTTTGTTCTGTTTCTTCATGTCACTCCAGACAGACTGGATGATGATGAGATCAGATCTCTGTGTGGAGCACTGGCTGTTGTCAAAAATCTCACTGGATTATTACAATTAATGGCAAAATGAATGTTTGGAAATGTAAACTGATATTTCCTACTGACACACTACAACAAAAGATAGAAATGACTGACTTAAACCCACTTTTAGCTGGTGAAAATACTATTTTTCTAATAATTTTGGCCACCACTGTATGTTGATGCATGGCAGAAAAGCACACATGAAAAACATTCCAGAACATGATTTTCCATTGTAAAACATACTTTTAAATTCTCAGAATTCAAAATGTATGTATACAATGCAACAGCACAAACTATGAGGGACAAAATGACATTTCTTTTGAGATTTAAGATGTAAGTGGGGATGGCAAAGATTCTGAAAGGCTACTATACAAGCCACCATGGCTTGACTGTAAATAGTTACTTCAGAATGATGATACACACCAGAATACATGAGAAATGTAAAATTCAAAATCTATTGAAACAGCAATGAGTGAACAGTTCCTCTGTCAGAGTGATTGTTTCTTTTGCTTTGAGCATCTGGGGCTAATGCAATACATATATAATGTGTCCTGTTTAATTTTATTTTTAGGAGGTTTATTTCATGGGACGTCTCAACTTTGACCAATGTACATATTAACACGGCCAGCATCTATTATGAAACACTCACAAAACAACTTTTTCTTTGACAGCTTTGTGAATATATTGAAACATGTTTGGTCAAAAATACAGTGCTAGAGATCAGTGCTTTGCTCACTTGCAGTAATCATGGTAATTGTGATCTTAATATACAATTAAGTGTAATAATATGAAAAAAATGGTGTCTGACCTCTCTTCTTTGTGTGCTTTGCGTTTACAGTAAAGTAGTGAGGCGCACCAGTGTGAATGAGCGCAGCAGTCTGTACCGCAGAGAGCATCAGAAGGAAGCCAAAGTGTGGCAGGAGAGAGGAAGACAGACAGATGCCCTGGATGATGATGAAGACAGACAGACTGATGCTGAACTGAACCTGCACGCTGCACTGGTGAGAAATTGGCTTAAAAACATTTAATCTCCATTAAGTGTTTGAAACCTTCTGAAATATGACAGATTGGAAATACAAATGAAATATTTTCCCATTTTAAAAAAATCTTACATTAAAGCTGTGGTGTGCACTTTCTGCATTGCCAGTGACACCAGTCAGCAGAATAATACTAGTAATAATAATACATTTAATTTTATATACCATTTGTTTGCACAAGGAGTCTTGACAACAGCCAATGCTCCACACAGAGATCTGATCTCATCATCATCCAGTCTGTCTGGAGTGACATGAAGAAACAGAACAAACTGAGACAAACTAAATCCAGAAGAACTGTGGCAACGTCTCCAAAATGCTTCAAGAAACCTACCTGCAAAGCTACCTGAAAAACTATGCGCAAGTGCACCTAGGGCAAAAGCTGCTTTAAACGCTAAGGATGGTCACGCCAAATGTTGATTTAATTTAGTTAATAGAAGTTAATTGATAAAGAAATGAATGTTTATGACATTATTTTTGACAGCATTTTTACACAAGTGCCTAAAACTTTTAACCGTACTGTAGGTTTGCAGGTAGGTTTCTTGAAGCATCTTGGAGATGCTGCCACAGTTCTTCTGGATTTAGTCTGTCTCAGTTTGTCCTGTTTCTTCATGTCATTCCAGACAGATTGGATGATGATGATGAGATCAGATCTCTGTGTGGAGCACTGGCTGTTGTCAAAAATCTCACTGGATTATTACAATTAATGGCAAAATGAATGTTTGGAAATGTAAACTGATATTTCCTACTGACACACTACAACAAAAGATAGAAATGACTGACTTAAACCCACTTTTAGCTGGTGAAAATACTATTTTTCTAATAATTTTGGCCACCACTGTATGTTGATGCATGGCAGAAAAGCACACATGAAAAACATTCCAGAACATGATTTTCCATTGTAAAACATACTTTTAAATTCTCAGAATTCAAAATGTATGTATACAATGCAACAGCACAAACTATGAGGGACAAAATGACATTTCTTTTGAGATTTAAGATGTAAGTGGGGATGGCAAAGATTCTGAAAGGCTACTATACAAGCCACCATGGCTTGACTGTAAATAGTTACTTCAGAATGATGATACACACCAGAATACATGAGAAATGTAAAATTCAAAATCTATTGAAACAGCAATGAGTGAACAGTTCCTCTGTCAGAGTGATTGTTTCTTTTGCTTTGAGCATCTGGAGCTAATGCAATACATATATAATGTGTCCTGTTTAATTTTATTTTTAGGAGGTTTATTTCATGGGACGTCTCAACTTTGACCAATGTACATATTAACACGGCCAGCATCTATTATGAAACACTCACAAAACAACTTTTTCTTTGACAGCTTTGTGAATATATTGAAACATGTTTGGTCAAAAATACAGTGCTAGAGATCAGTGCTTTGCTCACTTGCAGTAATCATGGTAATTGTGATCTTAATATACAATTAAGTGTAATAATATGAAAAAAATGGTGTCTGACCTCTCTTCTTTGTGTGCTTTGCGTTTACAGTAAAGTAGTGAGGCGCACCAGTGTGAATGAGCGCAGCAGTCTGTACCGCAGAGAGCATCAGAAGGAAGCCAAAGTGTGGCAGGAGAGAGGAAGACAGACAGATGCCCTGGATGATGATGAAGACAGACAGACTGATGCTGAACTGAACCTGCACGCTGCACTGGTGAGAAATTGGCTTAAAAACATTTAATCTCCATTAAGTGTTTGAAACCTTCTGAAATATGACAGATTGGAAATACAAATGAAATATTTTCCCATTTTAAAAAAATCTTACATTAAAGCTGTGGTGTGCACTTTCTGCATTGCCAGTGACACCAGTCAGCAGAATAATACTAGTAATAATAATACATTTAATTTTATATACCAGCTTTATACAGGTTTCCCACGCTTCTTGAAAGTACTTGAATTTCAGACATATGGATTCAAGGCCTGGAAAGTACTTGAAAACAAACATAGGTCCTTGAAAGTGCTTGAATTAAATTCGAAATAAATTTTGTATATGCAGGGATTAAAGTTTTCCATCGCTATGACGGATTTCCGTTAATTGGAAAAAAAAATGAGGGGAAAAGAAACATGTAGCGCATTGTTGTTGTTCAGCCGGCACACCAAAAATCATCCCCGCTGCTGCAGCTTCTCAGTGACAACTGACGCCGCTTGCATTATTCACAGTCAGGTTTTTAGCAGAGAACACAGAGCAGGACTTGAATTTCGGCGCGGGATTGCGGCTATTAATAACAATTCTACACATTCCCGCAGGTTCCGCACTTATAACGCGATGACAGATGAAGGAATGTATCATTTGCACGTGCTTTTGAGTCTTGAGAACTCACTTGCGCGCTCTCATTTTCTGTGCACCCACAGATCGTGATAAGGAGAGTGACAGCTTTGAATAGTTAAGGAAGTTTGCAAATGTGATATTTATTTAATACAACAGTTCAGTAAACAAGTACTGCCTGATTTTGCTCTGTTTCTTTATAACGAAAATAGTTCCAAATATAGTAACCACTCAGCCGCTTCGCATATCTAAAAGCAAACACAGCTGAGTTTTGTTCATTCAATGAAAGTGCGTTTTTGAACGAATCTAGTGAGTCAGTGATTCATGATTACACATTCATAAAGACAGTCACTTGCTTCATTCCTGAATTAATCAGCCGTTCGAACGAATCAATTGAATGAATGATTCAATGATAAAATCAGACTTGCCGCCACCTGCTGGCGGATTTAGTAGAATTTTTAGCATATCATTTCAGTTATTTAAATCATTTAATATTTCTGTATTCAAAATTTTATATTTAAAACATTTATCTCCACATAAATGTATGAATTTAATTGCACTCATGCCACCTCTGAGCCTCATTAAACGTCTGAAAATGTACCTTCAAGCCACTTTTGTGTTCTTCTGTGCCACCTCTGTAGTACAAATACATTTTTTATTAATACAAATTTCATATGATTGGTAACCTATTTGTCTTATTCTACTTCCTATTATAGTGTTTTAAATATACATTTAAAAAAGCTTATAAACATAAATTTTTTAATTTGACAGATGAAAATGATGTCATTACAAAGGTAAAAAGAAAATACCCCTGTAAGTCACTTTGAGTCAAATGTCACCTCGTATTAGGAAGGCTAATTTTTGATCCAAATTTTTTATTATTGATCAGAAGGGGATCCTAAATGTTTTAAATTAGGAGGACAAGCTCTCCTAATTAGAAGAAGAAAAAATTGCCTTTAAACTGTGTGTGAGACAGGTATGGCTGTGGAATGGGGTTTGGCTGAGAAAAATTTTTGTCAAAATATTTTTTTTTGCTTTAACCCCCGTTTATGGCGCTATTTCAAAACTTGTCCTATATGTTCAGTCAAAGACAGAACGAAACGGCACTAATGATTGGGGGTGGAGATGGGGTAGCGCGAAAAAAAACTTGGCTTGTGTGTTGATGCGCAGCCAAGAGCCCTGAGCAGGACAGTTTTCTTAAGCCCGCTCCTGCCAAATTTCTGACCATTACTGCCCACTCCCACAACGTGTGTGTCCCGCTCCTGCAAACATTCTAATATTGTATATAATTTTCGCACATCAGGGAACCGCTATCGATATGCGGTGTATTGAAATCGCATTTGAATGAGTGCTCGCTGTTCACTTTCACTTTCGATTTTGCGATCACGCACACTCTGTGTAAAAGGAGCACATCTTACAGTGCGTGCATAATTATTAGGCACTTTGATATTCTGATCATATTTTTTTTCCAAGCACATTTTACTAATTCTAAACCACATCAATTTTAATAACTACTATTATTTTCGTATTTAATCATTTAGAAGTGATCTTATAATTGTCCATGAAGGCTGGAAATGAAAAACTCCTAATTAAGGTGTGCAGAATTATTAGGCTGGTTTTCTTTTACGGATGAAATGAGCCAAAAAAGAGATTTAACTCAGACTGAGAAGTAAAAAATTATTAAATCCCCATGAGAAATATTAAAAACTAATGCAATACAGAAATTTCAAAGTTAAGGGGCATGACCATTGGTCAGCAAAATGCTCATTGGGTCAGTGGGGTCAGAAAAAAACAGGTGGAGAAGAAAAGATGCATGTTAACTGCAAAAGAATTAAGAATTAATGTGATGAATTAAGTGTCAAACCATCAGGAACCTTTTAGTCTCCAGTGCCACTATTTTCCAGAACTGCAACCTTGAGTCTCCAGAATTGCAAGGTGTCAGGTTCTCAGAGACTTTGCTTGGGTAAAAAATCCTAAAAAATTACCCCTACTTAATAAGAATATAATTCTGAAGTGTTGTGAAATACATGAAGACTATTTTATAGTAAGTAAGTTTTATTTATAGAGCACATTTAAAATTCAGCGTTACACTGACCAAAGTGCTGAACAAAACCAATAATAAAATACAGTAAATTCTAAAATAAAGTAAAATAAAAAAAAACAATAATAAAAAAAATTATAATATCGGCAATAACAACAATTTCACATTCAATTAATAGCCCGGAAAGGCAAGAAAGTAAAAATGTGTCTTAAGTCTGGACTTGAAAATAGAAACAGAAGAATCACTCCTAATGTCAGGTGGCAACTGATTCCACAAACGTGGAGCAGCGACTGCAAAGGCTCTGTCTCCTTTTAATTTAAGTCGTGACCGAGGGACATGAGCTTTATTAGCGGATCTGAGAGACTTCGGCATTGAATGCAAATAAATAAGATCAGAAATATAAGATGGGGCTTGTCCATTAAGAGCTTTGAAAACAATAAGTAAAATCTTAAACTGAATTCTAAAAAAGACAGGAAGCCAATGAAGGGACGCTAAAACTGGAGAAATATGTTTGCGTTTTTTCGTGCCGGTTAACAATCTACCCGCCACGTTCTGAACCATCTGCAGCCGTGCCAATGAAGATTGTGGAAGACCAACATATAACGAATTACAATAATCCAGGCGTGATGTGATAAAAGCATGAA